TGATCGACGGGATCATCATTCGCTAATTGTAATTGGCGCAGTACTAATGCGTCATAACTAGACTATCACTAACAACGCATAAATGGGTTATGTTGAATGGAAAGAATTCCCTGGAAGAAACAAAATCTGTATCTCCTTGAAAATTAAAATTTTTAAAATTCATAGAATTCAAAACGGTTGATATCTTTTTAATTTTTCTTTTTTAGTCGTATCTTTTAGAAATATCCTCATAAACGAAAACGTTAACTTAAACGATCGTAAATTTGTAACAAATTCGACAAATTATTTTTTAAAAAATATAAATCAAATGATGATATATATCTACAGGTTCTGAGTTTTTTTTTTTTTTTTTTTTTTTTGACAAAATTAAAAAATTTCAATTTAGCCTAGAAACCGATTTTCCTAACAATCTTCCATCATAAATATATTATCAGAACCGCTATATAATCTCCGGATATATCCATTCTAATGTAAGCCATGAAATGTTTATCAATCACTTTCTTTTTAATTATTATGAATCCGATATTCATTATTTACGCCAAATGGAAAGAATGAGTCTAATTTATCTAAAAATAGATAACATTTGTTAGATTTAACAATTTGTGGCTGTCATATGGCGCAGTATTATGTTCCCAGTTCGCTTTTTTTAAAACATATTGATCGAATTTAAAATATGTAGAACTGCTCTTTAGATTTAACTGTTAAGTCTTGCGATTCAAGGTAATGTCAATTGGTATATGCAGTGTTGTACACGGACGTTGTCCCGGTGATATTTGGCAGACACGGGACGTCCGAAAGTCCATGTCCGGGACTGTCCGCAGAACAGTTGGGACATGGACCGATATTAGATATCTTTTGGCTAAAATTAAAATGTAGCCAGCATTAATGTGGACAAAAAGTCCCGGACATAAAAAAATCTCGGACATGGACAGTCCGGTCCGCGTCCCATGACAACACTGGGTATATGGTTTTAGAAAATAATTTTCTTCTCATTCGCTTTTAGACATTTATACAAGGATGAAAATTGCTTGCTTGATTATTATAATGAACAAATGAATATTACTTTAAAAGTAATTATGGCTATTAATGTTGTTGAGACAAAGCGTTCATACATAAATAATAATTAAGATGATGGATTAATTTATCTGGATGTAGTAATTGCCTAAAAAAGGCATATAGAAGATTCCAGAGATTGATTGTCTTCAAAGCATACCATGTGTAATTAGAAAATATACATTTGGCATAAAAGAATTAATTAAATTTATTAAATTTAGAACTGATAAAATCGCAAATGATTTCCAAAAATAATTGTTTGTCATTTAATTGATATACATTTCATGCATGCATTCATGCTTAATTAAGCTAGCTATTGAAAATATCCCTTTCAAGGGAATCAAATAATCTAAGCCTAAGAATTTAATTAAAAAATTTTAATCCATTATGATTAATCCCAAAAATATAAAATGACTGAAAATAACTTTTCCAAAGCATTATAAATTGTAAACCTTTGTCATTTTTTTGTATTTATGATACCACGAATGTTCGGAAATTCTAATTTTATGGAATTTAATTTAACAGAATGGAAAAATAAACCTAATTTATCTTTTGGAAATTGTCTTGAATGTAGAAAAGAACGAAGCACTCTAAGATGGTGTAAAGGATGTGAAATTAGTGCTTTTAAAGAAAATTTTATAAATTGGACAAGCGGTAACCTTAATATTGATAATTTCATTAAACATACTCAGTTAAATGCATCCGAAAGCGATGATTATTTGGAATATATTGATTTTGAGCGATTCGACCTCATAGAATATACGAATAAATGTGGAGCCTTTAGTACAATTTATTCAGCAATTTGGATAGAAGGTCCTCGTTGGAATTGGGAAGAAGATGCCGAACAATGGACACGTAAAGGTCCCATTAAAGTTGTACTTAAAAAACCTAACAATTCACAAAATATTAATGATGAATATTTGAATCAAGTAAGTAATTATAGGATCTGAACAATACTTAAACAGGACACTTCTAAATTATGATTATTACAAATATCTTGTCATCATCTAAATCATTGTATTATTAATAAAATACTAATTAACGATATTTATTCCATTTATAAGCTTTATAAATACCACCATTGTTTGCAAAATAGAAATCTTGCTGATTTTTTTGGAATAACTAAGGATCCTACTTCAAATTATATGTTTGTTATGAGATATTATGAGAATGGTGATTTACATTCATATCTTGACGAGTCGCATGGTATTCTTTGTTGGAGAGATATTGTTGAAATGCTACGGGAAATATCCGTAGGAATTGAACTTATTCATAAAAATGAATTAATTCATGGAAATCTTCATGGAGGTAATATATTAGTTGAAAATGATTTAGATACAATTGATACACGTATTGCAGACGTAGGATTACATGGCCCAGTTAACAAGATAAATTCAAATGAAATTTATGGAGTTCTTCCTTATGTAGCACCTGAGATATTAAAGGGTAATCCACCAACAAAGGCGTCAGACATTTATAGCTTTGGAATTATTATGTGGACACTTTCTGCAGGTATTCGACCATGGTGTAATAAACCACATGATCTTAAGTTAGCTAAGGAGATTTGTTCTGGCCTTCGTCCTGAAATAATTGATGGAACTCCAAATGTATATATTCAGTTGATGACGCAATGTTTGCACTCTGATTCTTCGAAACGTCCAACTGCATCCCAATTATATGAATCAATCGAAGGTTGGATAGATTTTATTTGTAATAATCCAAATCCATCCGAAATATCTAATCAATTTGATATGGCTGAAGAGAAAAAATTTTTAGATTTAGGAAAAAATGAATTTCATCAACAAGAAATCCATTCACAATCTTTTTATACAAGCAAATACTTGTGTTTTCCCGAATTACATAACTATTAAATTTGAGAAGTTGGAAAGTTAAGAATATCTATTTTGGAAAATTTATGACTGGAATAATGTATTAATTTCAGAAGTCCTATTTATTATTAAACTGAAGGATAGATGCCGACTTTCATTTTACCGCCGCCCCAAAATTTGGAAAACGTCTTTAATCAGTCCGCTTCCTTATAAAAATATTATGTTATCTATGATTTTTATATACAACCTTTTAAATATAGTGTTTGCTTTAAATTCATTTCAGATCATAGATTTACTCTCTCTCGTGACGGACATATGCAAATAGTTATACGAATTGATAATCGTTTATAACTTTATATAAATAGAAATCATTTGAATTGACATATTCTATGTCGGTAAGTAATTTAATTATCTGTTTTAAATTTAAGTTATTATATCTATATCGTGTAACTAAATTTATTTATCTGCTATAAAAAAATTAGCCATCATAATTAAAATAAAATCCAAAAAACATTTTGTCCCACTTCTACCATCCCATCGTATCTACCATCTCAAGTTCATCGCAATATCGCAATTAGTCAAATACTTGGGATTCTACCTGACCTGAATAAGGTGCCAATTTTATAATGAAGATTTTACATGTAAATTACTTTCATTTATCTTTTTGAACCAATTTTTTTTTACAAAAATTTATAACATATGAAAATCAACATTATGATATTAAATAAACTAATTTAGTTTTTAATCATCATTTTAACATTTTAATGTAAAGTATTATATTAAGTATATAATACATATAAAAATTTGTATACCAAATGTTAATTATGCTAAAATAATACATTAATATTATTAATATTGTTAATATTGTATTTACTATCATTTATAACTATTTTATTATGAGATAAAATAATACTTTTATTTATTACAAAATAATAATTAAATGAAAAAAAATAGAATGTACAGTATATTATATAATAAAATTGCATTGAAGCCTATATAATTTTATTATTATTTATATAATCTGAATTTTCAAAATGTAATTAAATATAAAAGCTTACTCAGGATTAAAGATGAGAACTGTAATTAATATGTTGCAACTTTTAATGTTGCAACTTACGTTGCAATTAGTTTTAACCTATATATGTTGCAACTTATAATGTTGCAACATATGTTGCAACTAATTTTAGCTTATGTTGCAACATTTTGTAAATTTGAAATCAATTGCTGTACCATCTTTACTCAGGATATTCAAGTTATTATTAATTATTTATTAATGATTCTTGATAATTGTAGAAAAAAATTTTGTTTTGATATTTTAGATTAAAATGCAATAAATTCTGAATTATAGTTAAAAAAATTTTAAGTTTTTAACTTTTTATAAAAAATAATATAAAAAGCAAATTTATTATAATTATTTATATTTTAAATTTAATATTTGCAAATAATTTGAAATATATAAATTTAATATAAATTCAAATTAGAGTTTTAGTTTACCTAGATTACCTAGAAAAAAATGAAGTTAAAGCATTTGAAACATATGTAAAGAAAATTTAGTCTTAGAATTTGTTATTACTTAGAAATTGATACTAAAATTAATAAAGTAAAGATATTTTATATATAAAAAGACTTGGCTAAAAATGAATATAAATATGCAAAAGCTTTTTGGGTTATTTATATTATCCTTAGTGAAGAAATGAAAAAAATTTAGAAAAAAACAATTTATTAGTAACAAAAAGTAGCAACAAATGATAATATAGAAGTATAATTTAACCTTACTCTTTTATATAATAAAGATGAAAATAATTTACAGAAAACGTTTTATTGATATCAAAAAACAGCAGAAAATGATAATAATTATGCATAAACTAATATTGCACTTATATATAAAAAGGTGAAAAAATTGATAAGATTTAGAAAAAGCAATTTATTGATATTAAAAAGAAAGAATAGTAATATCTCTAAAGTGCTAAGGAATGTATAAAAATTTTAGAATTATATGATTGGTGAATAGACAGATGAGAATTTATTTAAACATAAGATATCATTTAACATTTATTTTATGTTTATTTATAGGATTTTCTTTACTTGGTAACAATTATAGGAAAATTGAAAATGTTTTTCAGTTTGTAAACAATTGTTTTTATGATTATTATAATTATACTATATTAATAATTTAATTTTCATAGTCACTATTCTGATTTAAAATCTTAAATATTAATATTGAATGCTAAAAAGATATGCACAAAGGATTTACTTTTTAAATTTGCAATGAAAATTTAGTAAAGTAATAAAATTAGTAGACAAAGAATTGATTTCTTATTTATATTCCAATAGAGAATTGATTAATATTGTTATAAATATGCAGATAAATTAATATACTAATGAATGTCAAGTATAATTATATAATTTACTAAATAGAATTTTAATATTATTCATGATAGCAAAATCCTGATATTTTAGAAATTTTTCAGCAATATGAATATTTTTTAATCATATTAGGAAAAATAATATTGATAAGCAATTTTGTTTTATGAAATTCTTCTTATGATTTAGTCAAAGCTATAAATTCTGTAAAGTCAACTTATATATTGACTCTGACTCCAGTGGCTGATACTACTAGTATACTATAATACTATTAATAGCAGTTCTTTTAGAGTTTATGAATTATAAATGGTGTTTATTTAATAATATTACTTAAAGTATTACCTCAACATTGTCACTCTATACAATCAGGTATGTTTATTAATTATAATATCACAATAAAAATGTAAAAAAAAAAGAAAATAATGATGTTTTATTATTTAGGAAATATCAAATTTATGAAGATTTATTATTGTGAATATGAATATATATTTTATTAAAGAAATTCCTGCTATTATATCATAAAAATAATAGATATTATTATATGACATATTGCAGGTAGCATAATTAGTCATAAAACAAATTTGGCAAATTGGATTAGAAAATGAAATTAGTCTAGAGACAAATTGGCTAACAGCTAGTTAAATAAATGCTATGTAAATGCTTTTTACAAATCAATGTAATAATAAAATATAATGCTAATATTAAATAAAAATAGTAAAATTAATAATGATAATAAATGCAAACTAATTAATAATAAAAAACAACTATTGTAAACAATATAAATAAATTTATTTTAATATTATTACAATTACTAATATCATAATGGGTTTATCCTAAAACAGTATAATTAGTTTTTTATGTAGATTAATTGACTAATTTGTCTACCATACAATTTGTCTTCTGGCTAATATATTCTTCTCTAGTGGTCAAAATAGCTCTTAGATAATAAGTCCTTACTGAATGTCAGGTATAAAAATGGTGGAATTTTGCTTGATATAAAAGGCATGATCTTAGATAAAAATATTATTTAGAATTTTTCCTTCAAACAAATATATCTGATTGTATAGAGCACTCACATTAAGGCAATATTTTATTTTCATTAAATTTTGTTATTGTTAATAAAATCAATTTTTAGTAAAATCATATAATGCTATTTCATAATCAAATCTATTGCTTTTTAATATAATAAAACAACTTTTCTAAATTTTTTCTTTATGTTCACCCTTTTCATATAACATTACTATGTAATTTTGTGCTTTAATGTATCCATAAAATGCCATTGCTAAATCTTTTTCTGTTTCATTTCCATCTTGATAATAAATAGCTAAATATTATATTGCTACTTTATAATCATTTTCAAAATTGCAAGACTAAATTATGCATAATTTAATCCATTTTCAGCTGCTTTTTGATACCAATAAAATGTCATTATTTTTATATAAATAACCAAGATAATATTATGCAAAATTTTGTCCATTTTCAGCTTCTTTTTGATACTAATAAAATGCCTTTTCTAAATTCTTTTCAATTCTTCATTATTTTCATACAAAAATGTAAACAAACTTTGTCCATTTTCTGCTGCTTTCATCACCTAAAAATGTTGTATCATATACTTCATCAACTTATAATAATTCCTATACATTCATAATTTATAGTTCTATTAAAATTGTGGATTAATATGAATTATAAATGAATGTATATAATCTTAAAATCCATACCTGTAGAAAACTCCTTGAATTGTAACACATTATCTACGATAAAAGGTGTAACCGTAAAGTTGTTGTTTCACTACAATTATTAAAGTTTTAATCATTTACAGTATATAAGTAAAAATTTTGAATATATTGGCGCAAATATATTCTCTGGTAATATCAACAAATGCAATAAGTAAAATTTTTCCTACTCCCTGATTACAAATATTCTCCTGTTAAAGACATAATTATTTTTTGATAAGATTGTTATGTTTAAATACTAATATTTTCATGAGAATTTCTGTTTATTTATTATTTTCATGAAAAACAATAACAGTCAAAAGTAAATTCGAATTTTTTGCTAACGTTTCCTATTTTTAATATTTAAGGATGGAACCACCTTAATTTTCAATTATATATATATATTTTTTCTTAATCACATATTAAGATAATTTACCTGTCCGAGATTATCTTCTTCAATGCCATAAGAAACTGATGAAATTAAAATGATTTTAATAATTTATCTATTCAAGATAATTAATTATCTGTTGTATTTTTGTAGATAACTTATCAAAATTTGTCATAGACTTGCATTTTTTCCGAAAGTTAGTTTGTATGAAGCTATTCATATAATTACTATCAAGATTCTTACCATCCTTAGTCGAGATGGCATTCGCGAAATTAATGACAAGCAGTAACGAAGTCGATTTGACAAATTTCAATAGCATGAAAGATTAATTGAATCTATTCCGGGAGACAAATTTTCAAGACTTCTTGATAATTCAATGAGCGCACAACGATAAACTGACATTGAGACGATTTCTGTAATAGCCATCAGGTCTTCATTTACCACTTCCACTACTAACAGGCGTCCTAAAGCTAGAATTCCGAATGCTGGGTTTATAGCAAAGATTCCTTTTTATCCAATTGTTCTTTTGTAAACCTATAATCATCTATCAATTTTGATATCTATATGGATAAATCCATTTGATTCTATCAAAATGTGTTCTTTTGTGAACGCTGTAAGGTTACAATCTTTCCAAATGAAAGTATATTATACCATCCATAACGGCTAAACTACCATATAACGCTCTTTACTAAATAAAGATTCTCACAGATTGTATATCTTGTAAAGGTTGTTGCCGTATCGTTGTAAAAGTTCGCGAGCAGAATTGTTCTTGTATAATGGATGTACTCTGCAAAAAAAATAAATAAATAAACTTTTGTTAAAAATAAAATATAACTTAAATTATAAAATTAAGAAATTTAAAATGGACAAATTAAATAAATTGTTTTAGCTGAATTTTAATGTAAACGAAATATGTGAGAAGAATGAAATGAATAATGTAGTGATAGAAATTAATAAAAAGTATTGAGAAGTTGGTTTTAAAATAAAATTAGAAATATTTAATATGGATTGCGGGTAATGGAGGAATAATCGTAAACATACATTTTGTTATGAACAATTGACATTTTTTATAAATTTCATTTATATGTAACTACAATGAAACCATTTGTAATTTTTTCCAAAATAATGAACTGGAAAATTTTTATTAAACGTTTCTTTCCACTATATTCTATATCTTGCCATCCTAGAAAATATATCTCCTTTATTTTTTTTTCAAAAACGTTTGAATTTCATTAATTGATCAACATCCTTCGGTCCAGCAATGTTAAATTCATTTCGAGGAGGTTCAATGAACTACATGATTGAAATCTTTCCAAGAGTCAGTGAAAGTGCCTGGTGTTGTAAGCGGTATTGAAATCAACGACGTAAACAGGGTCGTGAAAGCTGAATAGGCAAGTGTAGCACAATCTACCGCCACCATGGAATTCCTAATGGCTAAATAGAGAATGCTACTGAACCGGTATTGTTGCCATTTACAAATCCTTTTGTAATTTCTATGGCTTGTTTTTTTTAATATACTTTACGTCCAACAAGTTCCACAATATCATCAGGATTATTAAAGATACGATATCTATCTCAATTTTAGAAATTTAGATGGTAAAACACAAAGAATTCAACATTTTACTAAGCTTCTTGCTGTAATTAACAAGAAGAATCTCGTCAATAATATGCTGATAATTTGGACAGTAAATCATCGTCAAAGACTAATTTACTGAAACAACTACCACAGCTGAGGACAGTTTGTATCAAATTGCTCAGTATTATTGAGAAAGACAGGTTAAATGAGTAACGATGATCTTTGTTTAAGAAGTCGTTCAACTTCAAAACCTTCAAAATGTCAACGAAAACTTGAGTTGTTGTAAGAAACAAGACGACTACAAAATAATTTTTTATATCTATGCATCATTTAGTTTTTATTGGTCAGACATCTTATTTTAGAAATGCAGATCAATATTTACAACCAATATACTTCGTTTATTTTTTTTTTTTTTTTATTGTTACAAAATTATAAAGCCGAGGATTTTATATCTAACCGACAAACTTTCTTAAATTTATTTTTTTTCTTAGAAAAGTGAAAGCGTAACTGTGAAGGAGGAACCCTTTA